AGATGTTGACTCATTTTCAGATATGAAATATCTGAAAACTTCTCCCCTTGGTGGAATTAATCCAAAACAGCAACAATGCGGAGATTAAATTCTTTAAGGACACACAAGAAATTTGTGGGCTCGGAATTATATTCTATTTTATTTATTGAATTCAACACAGTATGCCAACCATGGGCGGATGCACGTGGAGCCATATGGGTGCTCTAGCACCCATTGCTTTTGATGCGGAACCACTGTTTTAAGTATACAATTGGTATTAAACTAACAAATAATTTGAGTCAGCACCCAGGAACAAAATAAGCAGGTGGGTGCTTTGGTTAGAAAGTGCACCAAAGAGATGTCTAGATGGAGAAGTTTTATTTTGTGTCTCATGCAGCTTACACTTGTTGTATGAAGCTCCTTTTTGTTTCATAAATTTATGGACCCCAATCTTACACTTATGAATCCACAAAAATTTGGGTCCACAAATCTGTGAGACAAAAAGGTTGACTCATACAACTAGTGTCAGTTGTATGTGACAAAATAAAATTTTTCGTCTAGATGGAAGTGTCGCAGAATCTAATCCCTGAATCATTTTGATATTAATAATCCCCTAAGTACTTTTGTTCTTCTCTTTTAATTTTATTTGCTTCATTTTAATTTTTCTCCTTTCTTTTTCTATTTTCTTCCCCAATAGCCTGACCCATTCTTCTCCAAAAATGAATGTCTTTTTTCATTTTTTTTTTTGTTTTCTTTGCTTTTTTAATTTCTTTTCCCCAAACCCCATCAAACCTAAGCGGACGAAACTACATCTTTTGCTATTGTAGAAGGAAATTCGTAAAATGGTTTAAAATTTTTTGTAATTAATTAAAAATGTTCAATTTATGTTCAATCTAAAGCTAATAGTTCTGAAGGTTGATTCTGAAAATAAACGTAAAATAAGCAAAAAATTAGAAAATTAAAATCGTGAGGGATAACCTGAATAAATTAAGTTATTTAACTATAATATTAATTTAGTATATTTGTTAAACATTTTTTCCATCATTGTAAGACGCAGTTGTGCACTTATATGTTGTGACTGTAACAATTATAGACTGACAAAGAAGCGGAGCACCCACGACTACAAGATCCTTGATCCGCCACTGATGCCAAGAGATATGTTATAAAAATAATCCAAATAATACCATAATTATAGTGTAAGTAATTTCGAGATTGCTTTTAACAAAATAAAAAATTTAACCTAGCAAGGTAAAACAAATTAATTCGCATTATATTCTAAAACTATTACCCCTTATTCTTGTAACAAAACGACTCCTAACCGCTTGTTCGGATGATTGTTACCTATATAGTGTTTCAACCTAGATTTTCAGTAGGGTTGCATAATATTAGGCGTGATTAAGAATGTCAAAAACACAAACTGAGTTATATTTGGACAGACTAAAACACAACTTAAAAATTTAATCCGGTCAAAATATGAAATGTGATCAGTTCGGTAGATTTTTATGCAAATTAATTATTTTTGACACCACTAACTAAGAGAGTTGAGAAAAATAGCGAAGCAAAGGAGGCAAAGGTATAGCCTAACTAATTCTGGGATTGTATTAATCGTGGGCCGGACCCACATGGATTAAGAGGGTTATATAAACCCGTTTCGTTAAAAAATAATATTATAAATGCATATTTTATCCTTCTCCCAGGAAACACTAATATAAAATAT